TCACCGCGGGCCCGAGCCAGAGCGATCCCGGGCGGGGCCCCGCCCCTCGGCCCGCCCCTGGCCACGCCCCCAGGGCGCCTCATGCACATTCATGAGCCGCTGCGAGGAGGGGGGCGTGGGGAACCCGGCTGGAGCTCGGCGGTCTGCACACAGCGCAGCCCCGGACTCAATTATTCATGAACTTGCAAATGAGGGGCCCGCCCCGCCTCGGACCCGGGTGAAACTGATGCAATTCACTCGCGAGGAGCGCTGAGGCGGCACGGCCACCGAGACGACCGCCTAGAGAGGCTGCCTCGGCACGGCCGCTGCTCGGCCCGAGCGTCTGCACCGCGAGCGTCTGCACCGCAGGCGGGACCATAGAGTCGCTGCCAGAGAGAAGGTGGCGCTGGCGGACGGGAGGCGCTTCCTGCCGCCTGCAGGAGTCCTCCAGAGCATCGCAACGTGGCCACCCCACGTGTGTACCTTCTGGCCTGGAGAGAGGAGGGGACCTGGCGGTGCAGAAGTTAAAGCGCTCGGCCACAAACCTACAAGCCACTCAGGCAGGGACTGTGGCAGTGCCAGTGGGCTGCCCTAGAGATGTTCACCGTGGGAACCCTAAGGGCCAGTTCCACCGTTCTCCAGGGCAGCTAAGTCGGCCAGACTGGCAGCCCCACTTTCTGCACCCATCTCCTGGTAGGCAGCCTCCTAGGATATGGGTGTTGCCCACCCCAAAATCTGGTTATTACCCTCACTTTCTTCCTTTAAAATTTGACACACCCTCCACCATACTATTCCTGTATACCCACCAGATGGATATGTGCATCCTCGGGTTTCCATTCCCCTGGTCAATTCAATTATCTAAAGCCTAATTCAATTACCCAAAGCCTTCGAAGACCCTTGACTCATAGGTGATTAAGGATGGAGCCAGAGCTGCCGCCTCTCAGCCAGGCTAATGGAGTGGAACTGTGAGAGAGACTTACTAATCAGATCAGCTCACATTTCTACACTCTCAGGTGGCACTCCTGCGGATGGTGATGGTGAAAATCAATGCTTGTCCAACTGGGAACAAGACGGCAGGTGCCTGGGGATCTGCTTCCCGGCCGGCCAGGAAGGCCCTGCCAGCCAGAGCGATAATGTGGACAGTGCTGGGGAAAGCACAGGTCAGACAACAGGGCTACAGAGAAGGCAGAGGGCCTTGATTTCCAAAGTCAGTTCCCTTTATTAAATGTTTTACACAGACCAGAAATACAAAATAAAGTAGAAATAGGCCCCCATTAGTAGATCCAGGCCAGTCCTTGCATACCCTCTGCCACAGCAATTTCAGACCAGACCAAGAAGCTGCAGATCTGTGAAGATGGGGCAGCAGGACAAGCGGCTGGGTCCTGCTCTGTCCTTCCTCCCCAAATGATAAGAAGCCATTTTATGAAGCTGCAGAGAAAGCTGCCTCCCTGGCTGCCACAGGGAAGGGCAAACCACACCACCAGGAGACCTGGACAGATGGCCTTTCCCATGAGGAGAAGCTAGTACCAAAACAAGGGTGGAGCGAGGGGGGAGTGACTGGGGAAAAGGAGGAAGACTCTCCTCTTCTCTACTCATCCGATCCTGATGCAGAGTCTTCCGAGCTGGGGGGAGTACTGGCCAGTTCCTCCTCTTCCGAGTCCTCGCTCCACCGCCTCTTCTTTTTGCCTTTGTTTTCTCCTGATGAGCTCTCATCGCTGGACACAAACTCTTTGCTCTTGAAGCTCTCGCTTAGCTGCCTCGATGAGGACTTGGACGATGAACTCCTAGAAGGTGTTGATTTCTTTTCCACTTTTACCTTTTCTTTCTTCTTCTTTTTTGACTTGTCCCTATACTCACAAGGGGGGGGCGGGGGGAAGGCCTGGCCCATCAGGATCCCCCAGACAGGCCAAGCCTCTCCTAGCTTTAACAGAGACTGTCCCCTGTCCCCAGGACCTAACTGACCATTTCACTTCTGATGCACACTGCCAGCCAGATCAGCCCAAAGTGACCTGAGAGAGCTCATCACTAAGTGAACTGGATGGAAGATGCCTCAAGTGGCCACACTGCAAACGTACTCTCACATGTTACCTTCTAAAAAGGAGAATTCTGCATTATGTTTCACAATTTCTTTAATTTCCCACACTCTGAAATAAATGAACCCTCCAGGAAAGCAGGTCTTGTTTATCCAAGGACCTCAGGAAGGCCCAAGCCCACTACCCACACTCAGACAGCAGCCTAATGCAGTTGGGAGGCAGGATCTTTACCACCCCAATTCTCAACGGTGACCTATGAAAAGAAACTTGGGTAAAAAAGCAGTTGTAGAGGCATTTAGTTGCCAACATTCACCTCTTGGACGACTCCCCCCGGCCCCCTTCGTATTCCTTCATGGCTTTCTCGTACTCCCTCCTGGCGTCCTCAGCCTTGCGGTCCCACTCCTGTCGCATACAAACACACACGTGAAGAATGGGGACCCCCCCCCCCCCAATCAGCCACACAACGCCCCGCCCCACTCTGCTGCCACGCACCTCTTTCTTCTCCTTGGACATCCCCTTCCAGATCTCGCCCGCCTTCTTGGAGAGATCGGTGATGCTGATGCCGGGATGGTCTGACTTGATCTTCTCCCGGCTGGCATTGAGCCACAGCATGTAGGCAGACATGGGCCTCTTGGGGGCATTGGGGTCTTTGCCCTTCTTTGCCTACACAAAGTAAACCCCAACTCTAAGCTATCCATTTCCCAAAGACTAACCCCAAATTCACGCCAAGAAATTCTCTGGACCCCCTGTTTGGGGGGACGGGGAGGGAGAAAGAGCTCTCAAAGTCTCCTCCTACAACAAGCCAGACCAAGAGCCGTGTGCAGGCATGGGATGGGGCTTCTCCCGCTCCACACTCCAGTGCCCAATTCCCATCTCCTACAAGCTGAACCTCAACACCAGACAGAGAAGGCTCCAGCTGCTCCTCCAGGCCCTGACCGGGCAGCACTGAGAGGACCAACTGATAAGTGGTGGACAGGACTGAAGGTAAAGAGAACAGCTTCGCCCACACCCTCCAATCCAGTGGCACGCCCGCACCTCCACAGGCTTCTTCCGGCTCTTGCGCTCTTTGGCCATCTTGGCCTTCTTGAGCTGCTTCCGCTTCTTCTCATCCCGGTCACTGTCACCCTCGTTGCTGGAGGAGCTGGCAGAGGCATTGCTGTCAAACCTGCCGGAGAGTAGGGCTGAGAGGTGAGGGGGGGGACAGCACCCTCCAGACTCAGTCACAACACAAACCCAGGAACACCCAGGAAAAGAGGGAAAACTGCAGAGGTAGAGCCTCCGGGATCCATCCCCAGGCCTCCTCCTCCCTCTGCTGAGTGGCTTCAACCATCCTCTCCAGACCCAGCCATAGTGATGACTCAGGCCAACAGACGAAGGTAAAAAACAAAGGCTTCCCCCTGACATGGCCTTCCTGAGACCTGTCTCCACCCACACACTGCGAGTAAGACAACCGCTATCTCATCCAAAAGGAAATATGCCTGGGTCTACTTCACCACTGCCTTTTGGTCATCATCATAATCATAATCCATGCTTTGGTCTTTTCTGAAGGGATGTGTGTGGTGCTGTCAAAAGTTGAGGAAACCCTACCTCAGTCCACCCTGTTGGGTTGATATTATGTGCCATCGAGTCACTGGAACTCGTAGCGAGCCTATGTACAATAGCTCTGAACCCTTCTCTACCCTGTGCCAATCTAACACACTGAACCCGTTATCCCAGTCACTGAATCATTTCATCCAGGATCTCCCTCTCTTGCACTGTCCCTCCTTGCAACATGCTCAAAGTATGTCAGACAGAGCTTCAGAATCCTAGCCTCCAAGGAGCAGCCTGGTTTCACCCTCTCCAGGACTGACCTGTTTGTTCTAGCTGTCCAAGGTACATTCAATGCCCTTTTCCAGTACAACTCAAAGGTATAGATTCTTCTTCCATCACCCTTTGTCACTGTCCAGCTCTCTGATGCAACCAAGTAATTTCAAAGACTATGGCCTGGATCAGGCACTCTGATGCATAGCAAGTAATTTCAAAGACTATGGCCTGGACCAGGCACATCTTAGTCTCTAGACTGACATCAATTCCTCTTTAGTACTCTAGAGAGATCAATGACAACATATTTTCTCAGTGCAGTTCGTCTTCGGATTTCCCAGTGCTGACTGTGGAGCCAAGCAAGTTGAATCAGTTAACAACCTCAATCTCTTCACACCATGGTGAAGAGATTGAGGTTGCTAACTGATTCAACTGGCCCAGTGGTGATTGCCAACTGGCCCAGTAGTGATAATCATTGTTTTCTTGATGTTGAGCTTCAATCCACATTGAAGGCTACAGTCCTTGACTTTCTGCAGCAAACAATCATGTCCTCCCCAGTTTCAGCAAGCGATATAGTCTCATCTGTATAACGTAGGTTGTTGATGAGTCTTCCTTCAATCCTGATGCCACATTCCTCCTCATAAAGCCCAGCCTCCCGAATGATCTGTTTCGCATACAGATTGAAAAGGTATGGAGCTAGGATGCATCCTGGGCATACACCTTTCCTAGTGCACATTTATAACAAGCAGGCCTGCCCAACATACGTGGAATGCTTCAGACATAACAATCTCACACCTGTATGGTACTGACCAGTTCTGAACGTACCTTCTCAAGTGTCACTCACCGGCTGTCAGAAACAAGGGGCAGGCGGATGAGTGGACATCGGGAATTGGTGCTGCCACTCACTTAAGTCTTCTAAATTAAGGCTTTCTATTTCCAAGTGGGGGGCCCTTGGCCCTCAATCAGTGTGTGTTTCACACCAGCCTCACACTCTAGAGGTGAGCCAGGGCCTTGATCTGCAGCCCATTAGAGCCCAGCACACCCTGACCAGGATCCCAGGCACAGGAAGACACACTGCCACCTGTTTCACACTGCTCTGAGAGAAGGCCTGGCTCTCCACTGGGGGTTAAGTGAGTGGGGAGAAGCCTGCCCAGCGCATGGTGAGGCAATCTGGCACCACACAGGGCAAGCTGTGTAAAACAGAAATCGGAATAAACAGAGACTCTGCACAACAACTCTGAATGTGTGGGCCCAGTAGTGTCTAAAGCCATCTATGTCCCTGGACTCTCCAAGCAAATGGATTTATAAAATTTCCTTTAGTGCTAAATTCTACTAAGTCCTATTGCTGACATAAGCAGCCCCCAGCATCTTGACAAAAGCAGCATGTGAGGAGAACTGTCATTTTACAGACGAGGACACAGTGGTCCAACAGCTTTATTCTCAAAGCCCCCTGCCAGTAAGGAGCCACGCTAACTGGCCCTCACTGCCAATACCTCCCCACTACTGTAACTTCAAAATGTGCCTTGCACCTACAAAGCCTTAATGCTTCTGAAGCACTTATGTGTGGCTTGTGGTGCTGGAGAAGTGTACTGAGCATCTCATGGACCACAGACAGAACGGCAAGCATGTCTTAGAGGAGGTGCGGCCAGAGTGCTCCTTGGAGGCAAAGAAGACAGAACTTCGCCTTACACGCTCTGGGCACACTGTCAGGAGAGGCTGCTTCCGGGAGCCCACAAAGCTTGGAGCTCTACGCCATGCTTGCACTGGTGAGAGGACGGCAAAAGAGGAGGTGGCCCTCAGCCGGGTGGACTGACAGACACAGTGACCGCAGCCTTCAGCAGGTCTGCGTGCGTGCGCTGGCACAGGCTAGGATGGGGCTCAGATCTGACGCTCGTGGGGTCACTGTGAGTCACAGTCAACGTGCCACCTCAACATGTGTGCCTTCCCTGCAGGTGCCCAGTCCACGCTGGGTTTTGAATCTGAGATATCTGCTGGTCCCTAGAGCTCACAGGCCCCTTGTGCCCCCTGCGGTGAACCAAAACTCACTCTTCAGCCACATCTTCCTCCTCTTCACCGGGGTTGAATGACTCATCTGGAAGAGAGAACAGGACACCTCAGCTTCCAGCTGGATCGTGCCCGGGCTTCCTCCCCCACCAGCCCAGCCCCAGGAGGCAGGCGGGCACCCCCAGGCCTGGCACGGCCGAGCGGCACACACCGGTTTCCTCTCCGGAATCGTCGCTGCTGTCGTTGGCATTCTCCTCTCGGATCTTGCCTTCTTCCTTCATCCGCTCCAGGTAGACGTCGTGCTGGTCATCATCCGAGTCGGCGTATTCGTCGTAGCTTGGGTTCATGCCCTGGCCAGGGAAGAGACAGGAGTGAAGGCCCTCGGTCGGCCTGCTCTCCAGACCCGCTGCACACTCAAAAACACACCCCCGTGCCTGTGAGTGAGGTCAGAGCCGCAGCCCCAGAAGCCCCTGGGGCTGGGGTGTGCACACGCAGCCAAAGTAAGCCTGTGCAAGGAATTCCTGTCCACTGGGTTAGCCCAAGTCCCTCCCTCTCCCAGTCCCACTGGAGCCCCCGGCGGTGCTACAGAGACCGAGCTAAGGCCAAGCTGAGGAAACCTGCACCAGGAGGGGGCTCACCCGAACCTCTTTTTTCTATAAAGGTAAGAAAAGAAAAGAATGTGAAAAGGAAGCCAGGAACTTCCACTGTCCCTTTCTCCCCTAGAGGAGGGCAGGAGAGAGGCCAGTCCTTTCCACAGAGGTACGTACCTCTTTCAAGCCTCGGTTCTTGATGTTGAGCTTCTTTGCGTTGACAAAATCAAACAGCTTCCCGTATTCCTCCCTGGCAGGGGAGACACACGTGTCAGCAGACAGGAGCCAGCGCAGGACGGACTGAGCTCCGATACCCACTGGCCCAGCAGTGGTGGGCCTGGCGCTCCAGATCATGTCTAACTCGACAGCTGAGAGACCACCCCCCCCACCCCCGGGGACAGCAGCAGGGACGAGTCAGACGGCAGTGCAGGCAGAACCTGCGCAGCTCAGTGAGGACGGGGCACGGCTCTTCCCCAGACGTGCAGTCATGAGGGAAGGACTGTCACCAGGTGTGTTCATCTCTTTTACTGGTCTGCATGTCACGTTACAAAGGGTTGTTTTGAGGACTATAACGTGAAGATGTTTGTAAGGCATTTAGCCCATGGTGAGCACTCAGTAATTATCAGGTGTGTTCTCAGACACCAGGCTCTTTCCAGGAAAAAGAGAGAGAGCGTTTCCACCACAGGGGAGGACGGAGGAGGAGGAGGAGAAAAGCAAGCAATGAGCACAAGGAGCTTTGTTAACAAACCCAAACTTTCTAAGGTTCAGAAAGAAAACGAGAGAGACGCTTTTGAAGGCGGAGCCCTCCAGAGAACGAGATCAAAATACGAAAGAAAAAGTCTGCCTACAGCAGAGAAGTCGGCTGAGGGTCACAGCCCTGAGCGCCCAGGCAGACAGGTGGGCAGAGGGGCTCATTTCTCAATGCTGCTGAGGGTGTACGGAGCACCCAGAAAGGTGGGACAGGCAGAGGGCCTCACCTCTGGATAGGCCTGAGCGCCCAGGCAGGTGGGGGTGGGCGGAGGGCCTCACCTCTCGATGCTGCTGAAGGTATACTGAGTGCCCTGCTTGGTCTCAATCTCAAAGTCAAAGGAACGTGTGGTGGTGGTGCCACGGGCAAAGTTGACAAAGGAGATCTCGTCGAAGCGGATGTGCACAGGGGGCTTGTGAACGTAGATGAAGCCCCTCTCCAGGGGATACAGCAGCCCCGAGCTGGCCTTGTAGGAACAGGTGATGCACTGGGCCCCCGAGTGCCTGCGGAGGGCACAGGGAGCATGGTCAATGCCCACCTCACCCGCAGGAGGCACCTCCAGCACTGACAACCCACGTCCCCAGGCCCTCAACGGCTAACGGGAACCGAGTGACACCCACCCTGCCACAAGGACCCAGCCAGGCCTCCAGGAAGCTGCCTGCCCTTTCCAGGTGGGGCTGTCCAAGGAGACCTGGCACTTCCCACTGTGGACGGGCTAGGACGCCACCACACTCTCACCCTTGGAAGTTGCCTGGCACTGTGATCTTGCGGTTCACCAAGGCTTTCATGACTCGGCTGACCATCTCGTAGAGGGACCCAGACATGTTCTTGGTGAGCCGCCCCTCAAAGCGCTTCTCCACTTCTTCCCTGGAAACAGAGTGGTCAGGTCACAGGTGCTGCAGACCGCTAACCGCAGGCCCGTCTCCCGCCAGCATGACAGCAGGAGACAAGTCCAGGGAGACGCTCACTCGTTCATGTTGAGAGTCAAGGAGATGTCCTCGTCCTTGGAGAAGAGCAGGATCAGGAAGTGGTAGCGCGTTTGGCCCTGCTTGATGGGAGGATCCAGGCTGATCTGGGAAGACAAGACAAGGGTAAGCCCCCCGCACACTCAAATAAAAGCTGCTGATCAACCAACACAGAACTCCCAACAAAGGGAAGGCCAAGACAACGACAGGTATCAGCAGGCCAGTCCACCCCAGTGCTTCCTACTTACCACAAAGAACATCTGGCGCTGGTCCTTGTGGGGCAGCAGGAAGAGACGGAGGACTGTCGTATAGGGAATCTTATAGTCGAAGGTCTTGCCATGCAGATGAAGAAAGGTGGGGTAGATCCGAATGTCGTAGCGGCCACGGGGAGTGAGACACTGCAGCTCCCGGAAGATGCAGATGGCGTCTCCAGTGGCCTGGATCACGTCGGCCTTGGACAGCACATTCTGTGCAAAGGCCTGCAACAGCACTCTGGTTAGAGGGTGGTGGGAAGTCCTACTCCCGGGCCGGCCCAGGGCTGCTCAGCACCATTCTGCATCCAGGGAATCAGGAGATGCCTCACCTCCACGGGGTCCACGCCGTCCTCCTGAGTGGGAGGCACGTAGAAGCGCACCTCCATGAGGGAGACCTCTGCGTCATCGTTCTGGTGGAACTCCAGAGTCACCTCGTTCTTGCCCGTGGTGCACTGGGACACGTTGCTGAGGGGTATCTCAAAGACCGGCTGATCGCCAATGTCAAAGGAAAGCAGCTGCCCTGTTTGGGGGGGGATGCTCATTAAGTCACAAGACCCTCCCAGAGCCTTCAGGAACACTGTCCCCACCACACTTAAGGGCTCTGAGCAAAGGGATCAGGGGCTACTGTGTTCACACTGCAATCCCAGCCCCTGTTTCTGATACACTAGAAGTGTTCAATAAACACACAAAGAACACACCAACCAAAGGAAGACCAGAGACACTGACGGGGAGTGAGTCAAGCAAGTGAAAGGCTGCAACCCTTCCGCGTCCCGTCCCCCAGAACCCTCAGTCTACTCAGAACTCACCGCCAAACTTCACCGTTCCCCAGTTCCAGCCCTTCACACAGAGGTCCTTCTCCATTAGCTCAAGGCGATAGTGAGTTTTAAAGAAATCGGACAGTTTCTCAAACTCCTGTGTGTGGAAAGGAGAGAAAAGGATTCCAGTCTCCTTGACAGACTTGGACACCATGAGATCTATGTTTGAGAAAGAGCCCCAGTGAATGACATGATGGTCAAAACTCCATGGTAATTTGGGTCCCCACACAAAGGTCTAAAGGGGAACTGAAAGACCTGTTTCTGGACAATAGGTCTCAGACTAAGGGAGCCGTATAGTCAGCAACTGACATTGTGATTACAGCCCAGGCAGACGCTTCCCAACAAGCTATCATTTCAATAAAAGTGAAAATTAAAACGACGAAAAGTCTCCAGTCAGAAACAATTCAAAATAGAAAATCAAGACTCAAACTAAAGCATCAGACTAAGATTCTATATCTGAATTAAGGACAATGTATAGAGAGCATCATTAATGAAAACAGAACATCTTCTGGAGTGGGGGCCCAAGGACATTAAAATCCAAAGCTGAGTCCTGGCCACCTGGTGGCCTCCACGCCCCAACTGTCCACGCCCGCAGCTTTCAGGCAGATTTGCCTTCAAGGTGACACGCCAGGCTTTAAAGGCTAAAACTGCTCCACAGGTTTTCTACACTCTTCTCTTTATGGAAGCGGACGGCCATGTCTTTCCTGTGCAGCATGGCTGTGTGAGTTCAAACCGCTAACCTTCGGCTTACTAGTCAAACACAGTCTGCGCTCTTTGGGTACCTCTGGTCCCAACTCTAACGAGCTCCAAATAGCAATTACATGGTGATCAGAGGATCTCAAACCTTCTCTAGGAGATTAAAACCAAGCCAACAGCACAACACAAGCAGGACGCGTGTCAACAGGCCAGCTCACCGACTCTCGGAAGCCATCGTACTTGTAGACATGGCCGTTCTTGGTGAGCAGTTTAAGTCCGTGGCCCAGGGCAACCCGGCGCCAGATGCCTTCGGTCAGCTCCCCGGCCTGGATGTTGTCCACTTTGCCCGTCTTGCTATTCTTGAAGATGATGCCTTGGCGGCTTAACCTCAGTCGACCATCATTCTGTTGGGAATAAAAGGCCCAGATGCACAGGAAGTAACCACACAGGAGCACCAGGACCCCACCTGATGCCCACGGGCTGCTGCCCCCACATCAGTGCAGGCACAACGGCTGAGGGTGAGGGCCCGGAAGGAGGGTGGTTCCAATGCCGGCTCTCACACTCAGACCTCTCACAGTCCATCACTGGCCGACTCCACCACGAGAGGGAAACAAATCACAGCTGAGCCTCCTCTGAGTTCACTTTCAGGCTGGGTCAAATGTATGGAAGAACACTGCCCAGCTTTCTCCCTGGAGCGGGATTTCAAGCTGAGTGGACTATAAAACGCCATCTTACACCGAGATCCTATTATTCTTAAGAGTTTCTGTCTGGGCTGCCTTTTGTTAGAAAAAAAAAAAACCACCATCAGAGAAAGGCAAATCAGAAGGTCTGTGGCAGCCCTGCAACAAACGCAGCTTATCGGCTCCTTGGCATCCCCAGCGACAAGTGCTGGCTTCATGCTGGGGTCATATTTGCTAAGTCTTGCAAGGTTTCCCACTTTCCCCAAAAAAAGGTGTTGCACTTAGTAGGAAACTTGGGTGGTTTAGTGGTACAGAATTTGGGCTGCCAAAACAATGGTACACAGTTCAAATTCACAACAATTGCACTTAGTAAACTTTTTTTAATTTCATTACTTTTTGGTGTGTACCGTCAAATCAGATCTGACTGATACAGGAGATTGTTCCTCCTTCTCCAGCAGAGCATCTGGAGGATTCGAACCGTATACCTCTGAGATTGCAGTGCAGCTTCTTGCCACTAGGCCACCAAGAGCTCGTCCAAACTAAACTTTTAAACACAACTTTTATATGCACCAGGAAGCTGAAAGAGTTGTGTGACTAGCTTTACTAAAAGGTCTGGAATAAACCTGCCTGTCTCTGAAGTATGCTCGTATATATGACATCCTGATCTCCCCCCTCCAGGGCAGTAACACCATCAAAGCCTGCACACGCACGCGCGCGCGCGCACACACACACACACACACACACACACTCTGCTCCTCTTTCCTCCCCCTCCGCCCGCATCACTCCAGCCCATCTCACCATGGAACCTTTCACCTCCTGATAGACATCGTTGAACTCCAGCGTCTCTGCCATAACCTGGCCCCTGGTGGCCGGGCCCGGACCCCCGGCGTGCACAAGGGGAATCGGAAAGCAAGGGGATGGGGCCCTTAACTCCTCCGCGGTTGTGCAGATGCTCGGGAGGCTAATAAGAACCTGAATTCAAGAAGGGGGAGACAGATAGATGCGCATGAAAAACACCACCTCGCTCTGCTCCCGAATGGAGCCAGGTGTCAACGTGCACCTGGCAGGTCCCAGGCTCGGCTGGACTGGGAAGCAGCAACAGCAGCGGGCAGAAAGTGCAGAGATGGAGGGACGAGGCCCAGTCCCGCCGGGAGCAGCAGGCCCGGAGCAGAGCTCACCCCACAACCCGACAGCCGCTCGGGCGCTCCGCCGGGCGCCATGGCAACGAGCAGCGGAACCCCCAGGGCCAGCTCCGAGCTCGCACCTCGTCCCGCGCCCCTAGCACAAGTCAGGGTGCAGCATTTCCCTCCCCGCGCTCCCACCGCGCCACGAACCCCCCTCTCCGCCAAAATGGAATCACCCGCTTCCCGCAGATTCGAATATGGAATGCACCACGTCGGGCGTCCCGCGGGGGAGCGGAGCCCGCGCCTTCCCGGGACACGAGGTCAGCGACCACCCACCCACCTCACGCTGCAGCCTCGCGGGGGTGCGGGCGGTGGGCGCGCCGGGGAGATACAGGGGTGGGGATGGGGGGAAACGCAGGGGAAGCTTTTTCCCGCGTGCGCGGCCCCGGGTCCCGCCACCGGAAGTCGCGCACAGGCCATAGAGAGGAGGAGCTGGCTAGAGGGGCGCGAGCCGGGCTCACCAGTGAGACCGCGGCGTAGAGCGTCCGCAGTTCCGGATGACTCGGGGGGGAGGCGAGGGGTGCGGTGGGGTCAGCCCGCCCATCGGGGTGAAATTTAACGAGAAAAGAGGATCGCGTGTTGTCGTTAAAGAGCTACAGACTTATCTTCAGTGGAGCGTTAGTGTGTAGAGGGAGATCATCTGCAGATTCACTTTACCAAACGCTGCAAACCTGTGTGACTATGTTAGAAGGACGGGTGTCCTTCTCTCTGTCCTATACAATAAGGGTTTCTGTGGAGTACAAAAGAGCCCCTGAGAAAAGAAGAAAAGTATTTAAGGCTTGTGGAGAGAACTGACCCCTCCCACTGACTGCGAAGAGAATGCTGGTGTTGGTGTGGTTGTGAGGACTTTGTGACTCAGCTCCTCTTGTCAAGTGGGATTGGCCCCTTTTTGAAATTGGCTCACTGCCTGTACCCAAAAGACCTCAGCCCTGATCGCAGTTTATGGGCCTCCTGTAAAAAAAGGCCGGCAAGCGAGGATATCAAGTTCAAGGGCTGGTATCAGATTTATCTTGGAGCCAGAACCAACTTGAAAGCACATCAATCTGGGATTTGGGAAGCCAGGCCCTCCTCATATGGTCCCAGGACGCATCTGGCAAAATCATTGACCAGATCTGGAAGAGACGTTTGTGTTTATCTAAACCAACGGGGATTTTTTGCAGGTGACGGCCGTACAGGAGTTTCCCAGGACCTGAGAGTTGGTGACCAAGCTGGAGACTAGAACCAGATGTCCATATCCCAGCACCCTTATTCTCTCATAATCACAGCAACTCTACATTCAGAGTGCTTCATTCTGTGTGTCCTGCATGACGACTTTAATGCGCAGTATTTCTATCCGAGATTTCCCCGACGGTCTGACTGCACCAGCGTCCTAACTCAACCCTGGGATAAAACGGAGTATATTGTCCCCTGACCTCCTGCCTTTAACCGCTGCTTGGTAGCTGTTCTGGCACAAGCTAGAAACTGAAATTCAATTAATCCAATAAATGGGTATTAAAAGCCTACTATTATTACAACACAACCAATAGACACAACAAAATCTGCCCAAACCTTCCAGGAGTACATATCTGATAAATTATTCCAATAAGGAGAGTTTTGGGGTTTTGTTGAGGGGTTTTTGTGGCGTTTTGTTTTGTTTTCAAAAAGCGATAGTTGCTACATGATTTTTTTTCCCCATTCATCACCTGCGGCAAGATCCAAAGAAATACGCTCAAGACCCCACTCCCTGGCCTCACACCACTGAAGATGATCCGAGAGGTCAGGGGGTAGCGGCAGAGTTGGGTGGTTTAGACAAGCCCTCAGGAAGGAAGGGGACACTCAGCTAAGAGAGGCTCTGAAGTGGCTGGGGGTTGGGACAGTGCGAGGGTCTTTAGAGAGGGCGTGAAGCAGCTGGTGAACTGCAGTGGGAGAAAATGGAACCGAGAGAGCAGACAGAATGCCGATAAAGCATGAGTCCCAGAGGGCCCTAGCCAGCTGCATCCCAGGCAATCAGGAGCCCAGGATTGGAGACCCACCCCTGCCATGACATCACAGCAGAATGGGGTGGAGACAAACAAAAAGGGGGTCCCCCGCCCAGGTCCTGGACTCTAGGCAGCCCTGAGTGTCAAGAGCAGAGAGAGCTTGGGCACTAGGCTTCCCTTTCCAGGTCTCTTTTCAGCTGCTCCATCCTTGTCTTCCTGCCCTTAGGACCCCTCCCTCCAGAGGCTGCCCTTTGGTCCCTTCTGGTGGCCCCCGAGTACTCCCTCAGCATGAACTGCATAGCAGACTTCTTCACCTATGAGACCACCAAGTCAGTGGTTGTGAAGAGCTGGACCATTGGGATCATCAACCGAGCCGTTCAGCTTCTGATCATCTCCTACTTTGTGGGGTGAGTCCGTGGCTCCAGGAGGGGAGGACCGGCTGGAAGTCTCACTGTCCAGACACCTAAGCCTCTCCCCTGAGGGGGAAGCAGTTTCTTCTATGGAGTCGTGTCCTCAAGGTCTGGCCTCTGCTGCCTTCACCCAGCCTCTGGTCACCAGATAAGTTCTTTACCCCAGTAAACCCCGTGGGCTTAGAAAACGGTTCTTAGACAGGGTCTAAGGAGTGGTGTCCTCCAGCAGGAGAGGTCTCTGGTATTCTATTTTCCTTCTCTGCTCTGCCTCAGGGAACAGGAAGACCACCCCTCTCCACCCTCTCAGTTCCTTCAGTCAACTCTTTAGAAAGAGTTGACTTTTAAAAGAGTAAAGAATCCAGGAAGGGAGACGCAAAGGTCCTGAGACCAGTGAGTGATGACAGGTTTGTGGCAGAGGGGAACAGAGGGCCATGTGCAAGGGAAGAGCCCACTTAGGAGAGAAGTTCCTTCCTAGCGTGAGAGAGGTGGTGAGAGGACCTGGGAACATAAAGACGCCTTTACTCTTAGAGAATGGGATAAAGCCATCCGTTGGGACTATGGAGGAGAAATACAGGTACAAATAATATTTGTGGGGTGAGTAGCTGAAAAGACTAGTGGCTTTTCTGAAGGTAGTGTGGAATACTTTCCCAAGAATCCAAAAGCAATTCCTTTTGTCCGAAGGGGTCACCAAAACCAACCCCAAACCACAGCTGTTGAGTTCATTCCCGCCCTCCACTGGCTTTCCAACCAAGGCTGGAGATCTTAATAGGAGGGGATTGCTTCATTTTTCTCCTGAGAAACAGCTGGTGGGTTCACACACACACACACACACACACACAGAGAGAGAGAGAGAGCATGAGAGCCATGAATCAGACAATGGCTTGGGAAGAATCAAAGGTTCTGGCCTTGTGAGCAATCATTCATTGGTGGGCTTCTAAGAAATTCCCTCAAGGATTTTCTCTCCCGGTCGGTGTGTGTCTCTCCCTGCTCTCTAAGACAATAGGTCCATGTGTGAGAGAAGCCTGTCATGAACTCATTCAAGCAAGTCAGAGGGGATCCTGCGTGCATGTGGGCTGGAGTCTTCAGGTGAGAGAGCCTGTTTGTCCAGAAGGTTGGGACAGTGTGTGAGGGTGTGTGTGGATAGGCATGGAAGTGTGTATAAAGCTTTTGTTGTTGTTGTTCTGTGTGCTTGCGAGAGAGTGTGAGCTTCAATTATGCAGACTTGTAGGCAGGGCTGTGCATTTGTTGCCTTGTGGGGATACTGAAGAGATTCAAGTTTAAGGCTGAAATGGCCTTGAAGTTCCCTTGGAACCAAGAGCGGTTGTGAGGTACGTTTGCAAATGTTGCGCATCTGCATCTCGAAAGGCTGCTTCAGCCTTGGTGCTTCAGCGGTCTGCGCTCATGCTGCGCTCATGCGTGCGCGTACGGCACTGTGCTTGGATTCGGGTTATTTGGGTCCCTGTGAGTCCAAAAGCTGCCTCAGCACATTCTGGGGCTGGCCTGGCTCCACTGGCCTCAGGTGGGAGACGGACAGAGGATGGAGACAGACGGCTCCTGGCCCGCCCGCTTGGCTCCCCCTGCCCTTGGCTTTCACCCTCATCACAATCGGATGCTCCGGGCTGGAACCCAGCCTGCAGAAGCGAGTAGGAGAGGCTCTTTGGCGTCTTGAGATCCAACCTCATCCATCTTGTAGCCTGACAGCTCCCCCAGGAGCAGCTCCTTCCAGTTACAACTGCAGCCTGAGCCCCTGCCGGAACCCGATCTCCGTGCACAGGAACCCCCAAACAGCATGACTTTGGGAATCTATTGTCAGTAACTTAACAAGCTCTATGGAGTTGTTCCTAAGCATTGTGAACTGAGGACGGAATGGCAGGGAATAACACACAGGGTCTTTGTCCTTGTGGGGTTTACGGCGTATTGCAACATGAACATCCAGCAAATAGTAGCCACAAACACATATACAATCTCAAGGGTGGCTCAGGGATTGAAGGGGAGGTGCAAAGTTCTAGGGGTGCCGCTAATATGAAAATACTGCTCGGGGAACTGGTGAAAGATTTGCTACAGAAGTGGCATTTGAAACAAGAGCTGAGGATGAGTCAGGGAAAGCCCAGGTGAAAGGGAAGAAAGAGGGCTCAGGGCAGAAAGAGCTTGAAGAGCCTGGCAGACGGGAAGAAGGGAGAAGGCTGTTAGGGTTGAAGCAGAAAATGAGGGTCGTATAAGGGTAGGAACCCAGACAGACTACAGACACCCTCAAAGAGGTTTCATTTCTAGAGAAGAGAAATGAACGGAAAGTAACTAAAGTGTGTGTGTGTGTGTGTGTGTGTGTGTGAGAGAGAGAGAGAGAGACCCCAGGACTGGAAGGTGACATGACATGCTGCCAGGAGTAGGAGGTGGGCAGGGGTGGATGATGAAGTCCCTGGGTGGCACAGATGGTTAAGCACTTGACTATAATCCAAAGAGAGCTCTCGTGGCGTAGTCCATAAGGAGGTGCGCTGATAACCCAGAGGCTGCACACATCTCCAGGAGTTCAAATCCACCAATGACTCTCGGGGGGAGAAAGACAGGCCATGTCCTTCTGTGCAATTTACAGCCTTGGAAACCTAATGAGAAAGACTAGCCCAAAGATTGTCGACTAAACCCACCCAGGGGGGCCCTAGAACCACAGCCTCGTACATCTTCATGTAGGGTCACCATGCACCGGAATAAACTCCACAGCAACTAACAACAATGACAGCAGGAGGAGCCTGGACAGAAGAATCACCCAAGGGTCCACGCAGTCGTGGAGAGAGAGCCAGGCTTGGACACGACAGACTTTGAAAGGATTTTGTAGGCTGTGCTGTTAATGCTTAACTACTCCTTGAATCTCTTCCTCCACAGCACCCCTGCCAGGTACACACAATGCCCAGCTTTCCTCGGGTGGTGTGAGCCAGCCACCTTTTATATGCGCTCAGCCAACAGTCTCCACACACACACACACACACACACACACACACACACACACACTCCTCAGTGGCTTGTCTCTGGTGGATCATTCACTACTGTTGTCTTTACCCACCCCCGGGTCTATGGAGCTTTTCCAGACTCGTGTGTTAATCCCTAACCTTCTCTGGGAGCCAGCTGGGTGTGGACATGAGCAGAAAGGAGAGGGGAAATCTCGGGGCTTTGATCCCGAGGAAGAAACCCTGACAGTGGCCTAAATGCAACCTCATGGGCTGCTGCAGCCTGAGCCTCAGTCAGAGCCGATTCATGGCCCACCCTCCGCTGGTTTCCCAAGGCTGTAAATCACACAGGAGCAGATTGTCCATCTTTCTCCCGCAGAGCCCCTGGTGCATTTGAACCCCCAGAGGGGCAGAATTTCCTACCGATTACACCAGCAGAGCTCCCTGGTGGTGGCCTAGTGTTGACAAGTCAGGCTGTTAATCAACAGGGCAGTAGTAGTTCAAACTCACAGACTACACTGTGGGCGAGAGATGGGAGTCTCTTCCTATAAAGATGTATTGGCGCTGCTGTTGTTGTTGGGTACCGTCCAGTCGGAATGGACCCATCACTGACCCTCCAGCAGGTCTTCACAGTCTATAAGTCACGCAGGAGGCCATTGTCCAACTTCTCCAGCCGAGCAGCTGGTGGATATGAACTGCGTGTCTGTGTTGGCAGCACAAGTCCTAACACACCCAATGGAGAGTCCTTTACTATGCGTCAGACTTGCAGGCAGTGGAGTAGGTCTCTGGTGGCCCCTCGGCTGGCTTTCTGTCTTTCTGGAGGAAGCTGCCTCCCTGCCAATCAGCAGCGAGGGCATCTCCAGCCCTTCCGTGTGCCCTTCACCAGCAGCCTGGGATGGTGACCTCCAGCCTGGTGCAGCATCCACCTTACCCCTGCTCTGTTATTCCCACACTGTAGGACCCCAGTTCATAAACTCACCCTCTTTGATTCACAATATTCAGCCTATTCCCAACTCTTAAGGAGATACACGAAGCATTTAAAATGGGGAGCTACTCTGATTTAAAGAGGAGAGAAGGGAAGGGAAAAAAAACCCACACAAACAAACCCATTACCATGGAGTCGGTTCTGAGTCATGGCAACCCCATATGTTCCAGAGAAGAGCTACTCCACGAGCTTTTCTTGGCTGTGATCTTTATAGAGAAGGTTACATTCGGTTGTGAATCGGAAGGTTGGTGGTTGGAACCACCCACCCCAGGAGCCTTGTGGAAGAAAGGCCTGGTGCACTGCTGGCCTTGAAGTTACAGCCAAGCAAACACCACGGGGCAGGTCACTCCATAAAGTGTGGTGCTGTTGTAGTTGGAATCAGCTCTGAGGCAAGGAGTTCATCTCTATGGAAACAGATCGCTATATCACTGAGTGCTTTAGACCACCCTGTAGGTGAGTGGTTGAGCCCTCGGGACGGTGTACGGGGTGCTCCGAGAGCATAGTGTGTTAACGTGTTGGGCAGTGAACCGAAGGTTGGTCTTTCAAATCCACAGGAGAGAGATTAGCAGTCTTCCTCTTGTGGAGATTCATAGCCTTATAAACCCAGTAGAGGGTCAGCGTGAGTTCAAATCGACACACTAACAGTGGGTTTGGTATTGTTGAAAAGGGAGGGGTCTGGATTCTACCTTCTTGACTCCCACCCTCCACCCCCACCTCTCACCCCAAAGGCACCTCGTGGGCAATAGGCTACAGGAAGGATGGGAAGGAAAGCTGGAATGTTGCAACTCTTTTTGTCCAAGCCCCTCCACTCCCCTCTCTACAGCAACCCACACCCCTGGCCCCCAGAATGTGGAAGCCTGTACACCCACAAACCTGCTTTGAAACCTGTCTGACCCTACCTGGGAGTATGGCCTAGGACACATCACTCTGTATTTCTAACTCTTAGCCCCTGTATCTGGAAAATAGGGTTGAGACTACTTCCTCCCTAGATGTTATGGGGAGGGGAGCTAACCTATGTCAAGTGGCTTGCCTCGGCTGGTGACTCAGTAATAGATGGTAACTATTATTACTTC